TCTCAACTTTGCTTTTGCTACTACTGATCCTTCTGCCTCTACCTTTAGCCTGCTGGGCAATACAGGTATGTGCTACCAGGCCTGATCTTCCTAAGGAGTTCTTACTGGCCTTTTAGAATTAAGCCTTTGCCCAGGCATATATCTGTCACATAGAGAGCAAGAGTTCTGCTTGTTTTATACTTGGCTGTCACCATCTCTATGCTTCAGTCAGAGAAGGAAATGAATGCACATTTCATTGTCTTTTTTCTTCACACCAAGAGAAAAGATATTTCTGATGTGCTAAATAAACTTGGAGGAATATTAGCAGCATGACTACTTTAGTCACTGCTGTCAGTCACCTTCAGACAAAGATTGATTAAAAAAAATCATGGAAGGAAAATGAAGAGCATATAAAGCTGGCTGGGTTTACTGTAGGAAGGGGTAAGGGTGGTGTCACCTTGTTTGTCCTCTGTCTCCTTTTGTGTTTTCTTTTCATAGGGATGTCCCAGATGCAGCTGGCCCACCATGGCCCCCATGGCCTAGGGCACCCCCATGCTGGGCCTCCAGGCTCTGGGGGGCAGCCACCACCTCGGCCACCTCCTGGAATGCCTCATCCTGGTCCTCCTCCGATGGGCATGCCTCCCCGAGGGCCTCCTTTTGGATCTCCCATGGGTGAGTGGGCACTAGCCCATTTCTTATCTACACACAGAGACAAGATAGAGACATGCAGACAGCCTGTATCCCAGGTGACTCCTGCTCCTGCCTTAGCATCCCAAGTGCTCGGGTTACAGGGCAGGCACCATCAAGCTGCAGCTCCTGCATGTGTTCTTACAGCTTTGCCTATCGCCCTGTCATGACTTCCCATATTCCTGTTGTCATCCCTACTGATCTCAACGTGAGCTGCTTCCTGTTTTCATTTTTGTTAACTTCTTTTTCTTCCTGCAGGTCACCCAGGTCCCATGCCTCCTCATGGTATGCGCGGGCCTCCTCCTTTGATGCCCCCTCATGGATACACTGGTCCTCCAAGACCCCCTCCCTATGGCTACCAGCGGGGGCCCCTCCCTCCACCCAGACCCACTCCACGGCCCCCAGTTCCACCTCGTGGTCCACTTCGGGGCCCACTTCCTCAGTAAATTGTCATCCTTTGTTGCCTTTTATCTTCCCTGTATCTTCATTTCATGGACCAATCAGAGATGCTGTAGCTCACCAGGGCTAATGTACTGACCCCTCCCAGCAACTCTGTCCCCATTCCAATGTCATGTTTCCACAGGGGATTTTCTTGATTTTTATTTTACAATGTTGGTCCTAATTTCTTTATACGTGTATAGAAAAATAAAAGTATGCTTCTTGTTTGTTCTCCAGTGAAGTTCTTTTAGGAGAAGCCAGGGTTTGTGGGTGGAACAGTACAAAAGAGGGACGTTGTTTACATTGTAAGGGTTTGTTTCGAATGTTGCTGCACTGCCATGCCTTACCACCAGACAGCTGCACTTGGAATAGAGCTTATCTTCTGTTATAATATGGGGACATTAACAACAGGAATAAAATGTCTGATGTTATGTTAGCAAAGAGTAACAGGCACAAAAGTATCCACTGTAACACTATCTGGAGTGCAGCTGGAAAGTCTTGTCATTGAGGGGCTGGTTGGATGAGCTGGTAAGTCCACACACTAGAGCTCTGCAGCTTTGCAACAACCAAGGAGCTGGGAATGCAGCTCAGCGGCGGGCGGTGCATCCTGCACACTGTGAGTTCTGTCCTTGACACCAGAGGGGAAAAGATGATACAGTCTCGTAAAAGATGTGTAGGTCATAGTTAAGTATATAATGTGTATATTTGCCTATATATGTGATATGCACCCTTATCTAGGGAGTGGTACATATATGTGTGTGTATGTTCTCTTATAATTAAAAAATAGATGACCAACCAATGGAAAGTAAGTATTAAAATATGGAGGGGAAGCTTTGTGCCTTCCCCCCACCCCCCCTCGGTTGGAGCTGGTTTTCGTAACCCTGGCTCTCCTGAAATTTACTAGGTAGACCAGGCTGGCCATGAACTCAGATCTGCCTCTGCTGAGATTTAAGACATGTGCTACCATGCTCAGTGGAAGCTTCATCTCCTGAGTGGTGTTACAATGGCTTTCATTTGGAGCCATGGGAGTGTCTTAAATAATTGCCAGAGAAAGTGGGTAAGGAGAGCAAATGTTTATTTCAGTAAATAACATTTATATCTGATTCCCAATTCTGTTCACATGCTCAGTTCTTCCAAACGATTTCACTTAAACATTTATGGTTCCTAGGAAGGCGCTGCTAGTGACCAGGATGAGCACAGCACCTGTTCCTGCCAGAACGTCTGACTTGGTCTGAATGTTCAGGAAGACTTCCTTTGGAAAACAGTGATACCTGTAATGCTCCTACTAGTCAGGCATGGTGGTGCATGCCACTGGCAGGGGCAGAGGCAGGTGGATCTCTGAGTTTAAGACCAGCCTGACCTACATAGTGAGTTCCTAGGACAAGCCAGAGTTAAAAAGATGATCTAGCTTAACCCTAACCCAGGGGCTTTAACTGATACTCAGCCAGCCTTGTCTTCCAGCCTGTCAATAGAATGATGGGATCAGGAGGTTGCCATGCTCCTGGCTGGAGTTATCTTGAAAGGTGAGGGGTGGATGCAGTGTGGAGGCTGGCTAAGGTCAGAGCCAGCTTGGGCTCCTGGAGGTTTTAGTGCTTTTCGGCTCTTTTTCATTGGTGACCATGTAAACCCTTCAAAACAACAGTGAGGTAAAAGGGAGGATGCCAAGGGCTCTTTGCTCAGGAATATGAGCTGCCCTGGTTGGTGTGTTAATGAGGCATCCAGGTTGACTAGGCAGGTGGAGACAGGTTTGGAGTAGAGATCTTAATGTGAGACTCATCCAACAGACAACCTAGCAAAGTTGTGGGGCTGTCTGATGTGGACAAGGAAGTCACGAGTGGACGCCAGGAGTGTCCCACCCCATACAGAACCTGAGAGCCTGTAGAAACCAGACTGGATGAACCCTGTCCAGGGGACTGGGCAAGTGGACGTGCTGAAGTACTTAAGTCTTCCCTCAGAATTTAAAAAGAAACGTTCTATTTTCCCCCTTTTTTGCTTGCAGTGCTGGGGATTGAATCCCTGGCCCTGTTTGTACTTTCTATTTTGATACAGGCTCTAAGATGCCTTTAAACTCATTCTGTAGCCCACACAGGCATGGAACTCCCTCAGCTTCCTGATTAGCTGGGACTACAGGCTTGTGCTGCCACCCTTGGCTGATGAGTCCTGTATGTCTTCTGAGATGCTAATATATCAGTGCAGAGTGTGCAGAATCACCTGAAAGAGGAGAAACAGCTTCCATCAGCAAGGCCTGCCTGTAACCTAAAATGGGGAATGATGTGTTTAAAAGATGTATTACACCTTAAGAAGGCTCATCGACAAAAGCCTAGTAAAAGGCCAGTCCCCGAGGCCCGTGTGGGCAGCGCTCTTCCAAGTACCATCCTGGAAAGAGCACTCCAGCCAGCAGACTCTGAGTACTTCTAGAGCATTGGCAAAGCTTCCCTGCTCGTAGAGGTGGGGCAGAGAGTTGTTGCCAGGAGAGTTTTTGGATTCATTGACATCCTACTGGGGATGGCCAGATGCCATTAAAGATACAAGTTCTCTCACTCAGCAATGTCACTGTGTAACTTATACATAGACATGGTCCTGATTTGGCTTAAGGGGGAGAGTGCACTGGACACATAAATCTTCAGTCTAGGGGAAAGGTAGCTCTTTAGGGTAAATTAGTGTCTATTATGACTTTCAGTAATTGTGAACCTTACTGACCCATACATTTCCAAAATCCAAAATTGGGTCCTACAAAACTTAGGCCCACATCTCTAGTGTAGTAAATTTACCATGTCAAATGGCATCTGGGAAATCTCTGAGCACACAGGCTGCCAGCCTTCTGTATTCAGTATCTCTCAGCCTATACCCACACTTAACCGAATAGATTCATATGGTATTACAGCTAAAAAAAGACACCTGGTCCGAAACACTCCATTTTCTAGACAAGAAGCCTGTGTGTGGTTCACAGAGACAGGGGACTTGGGCAAAGCCAACGGTGTACCAGAAGTGGAAATCTGGGATATGCCTTGGTCAGTGCTCTTTCCAGACAATCCCAAGGTCTTGAGTAGACTGGTTCAGGGTGTACCTCCTGAAAGCCCCTCTGAATTGTGGAGCAAAACAGTCTCCAAGTGTTGATCTGTCAGTCCAGGTTATCTGACAATAAAAAGACTGGAGAAAAGGAGAACCCAAGCCAACACACACACACATCAAAGAGGGAGCTGGTAATTGATGGGTTTTTGTTTTTTGAGTCACTGGAGAGAGTGGTTGGAGAGGAAACTGTCCAGTGGATCTGACAAATTCCTTCTCCAGCACCAGCCTCTGCTACCAGCAACTGAGTGGAGATTGGGAGGAGGAGGTCCACATTGTACATCAACAGTCTGGACTGGTTTTGGAGGAGACAGATGACAGGGACCCAGGAGTCACTGACTCTGACCGTTGAGTACAGAAACCACACCTTGCTCTCTCTCTCTGTTCTCTCACATAGCCAGGTGAACCTGGGGTCCAAGCTGTGGGGTTGGGAGAGGGTTTTTAATTCCAGGGAGCAGTGTAGAAGGGGAGGGAGCTGGGACTCCTGGGTTCTCTCATCCTTGCTTGGGTGCAAAGGAAGGTGCTTTCTCATTCATCACCTCCTGTCTATTTCCTCTACGTACTCCCCTAACCACTGTTAGTGTGTGTCTTCCTTCAGTTCCCGGCGTCTTTTGCTAGGGAGGAAGGGGCTGAGAAAGACTGACATTTCCAGCTGTCACCCTGACAATCCCCTCCAGTTCCTTCATCTTTTCTTCCTGTGTCCTAAGTCCCCCCATCATCTTTTCTTTGGCCACCCCCCACCCCCCACAATGGTCTCTCCCGCCGCTCACTGGTGCGGGGGAGGGAGGGTCGGAGGCGGGGCCGGAGCGCGTGCGGGGGGCAGGTCTGCAGTGCCGCTTCCCCTGGTACCGGGAGGAGCAGTTGCCGCTGCCGCCTCAGCCGTGTGGCTGGACCCCCTCCCTCACCCGGGGACTCCCTGACCCGGGGAACCAAGCTCAGGTGAGACCCCTCTCCCCTCACCTCCATCCCGCCCCAGGCAGAAGCATCCTCGTCTAGCCTTGCAGCCATTTTATCTCTGATGCTTTGCTTATGGGGAGGGTGACTGTCCCCGCTGTAGGGGTGAGGGTGGCGGTGGTGATGGTGGTATGGGGTATTTCAGTTGCTTCGAGAATGTACTTGAATAAATAAATATATATGTGCAATACACATATATGTATTTGTATGTATATATACACACATATATACATATATATGCAAGGATTTTTTTTCTACCTTAGCTTAAAGTCCCCATTACATAAACCTGGTGAGGGGCTGTTAGGTAAGCTGAGGGTCCCTCAAACTCCATCCCCTCCTCACCTTGATGTATGTGCCCCCCCCATGGTAAATGACCTTGGCTGGGGCCAGAGAATGAGTACTGCCTCTCTTGCCTGGCGGGTGGGGGTTAGGGGGTAGAGGCTCAGTGAAGGATAGAAGGAATGAAATACTGGGCAGACAGACATGGGAAGCAACCAGGTGTTGGGGCTTGGCGCTGGAGGCACTTACTGAGGGGGTCAGGGGAGGGGTGCAGAATGATGGTGGGGACCTGTCCAGCAGCAGGACCAGGGGTGGGAACAGCAGTGTAATCAGTTCCAGGGCCTCATGCCTGGTACCCGAGCTGAGGCTAGGTGGGGGTGGGGGTCTCTGCGATCTTGGCAGAGGCGGTCCCTAAGCCTGTGCCGGTGAAGCATTTTCTCTACATCCCTGGCCTCTCTGTAGCATTTCTCCGGGTCCATTCTCAGCTGACACCTTCTCTCCCCCCCCACTCCCCCGGGCTGACAAAACTGGATGCTCCCATCTTCCAAACCCACGGGTAGATTGTAGGGGTGAGGCTCAGTCTTGTTGGTCCTGCAGAGGGGTAGGAGGGTCAGTTATCAAGCCATGATGGGGGGGGCACTCTGGAATCCCCCACACCCTACCTTCTGTCCCTTGTCCTTTTCCATGGGAACCTTCTGATCAATAACTGCTTCTTCATGACCTTGTCACTTCTTAATGACCTGGGATGGGATGGAAACCTGGGTGGCCTTCAAAGCAAGGGCTTTGATTAGGGGGCTAGTCTGGACCTGAGCAGTTGTCTCGAAAGGTTTGCTTATGAAGCCCTTTCCACATGCCCTTTCCACCTTCTGTAGAAAATCTGGACATGTTTCTTCCGGTCAGGTGAAGCCAGTCAGCCTTAAAGGACTTGGTAAATCCCAGTCTGGCCTCCTTTAACTCCACCTCTCCCAGTGCTGTTTCTCTTTCTCAGGCTCAGCCACTCTGTGCTGCTCCGTGGGCTAAATATAGCACGACTTCCTCACCAGCTCAAAGAATTTGTCTTCCTTCTCTCCCGCCTGGGCTTGCTGGCCCGGGGGAGCTGGCTGCTGAGCCACAATGTGCTGTTGTGGCTGGGGGAGCCTTTCCTATCCCCACACTCACGGCTGAGGGGTAAACAATGGCAACAGGCATGAGAAGCAGCTCCTGTTGGGTCCAAATCTTCCTTCAGGGTTTGAGGAAGGAGAGATCATGGTTGGGAAAGAAAGGTGAGGTACACAAACGGCCTTGGCGCTGAGGACAGCTGGTCCCTGAACCATGGAGAAAAGGTGACACTGAGCTACTGTTTCTGATCACTGTTGCTCACTGCTTACATCTGTCCTTGCCAGTGTGTCTTTCTGAATGACATGGCATTATTTACCCTTTTCCACTAGCGTGTGTGTGTGTGTGTGTGTGTGTGTGTGTGTGACATTAGTCAAGGCTTTGCCTGGATGGGAGTAGAGGATTATTTTAGGGGAATACTATTGCTCTTAATCTAGGCCTGTGTCCTCTGTTGCCCTGAAGGAGGTTATCTTATGCCTCCCTTTGGGGATGTCTTATTAGGGGGTGGGGTTGGTCCCCTTCATTCTCCACCAGCTGCCTACGCAATGCGGTATTTATGGACTCCTTTTTCATTGACTCTTGAAGAACCAGAGGGATTAAGGGAGATTAGGAAGGGGGACCCTGGAAGAATGAGACACAACTATAGACCTTAGACTCTCATTGGAAATGTGACCTCAACCAGTCATTTCTATTCCTACCCTACAGGCAGAGGGGGTCTATATGTGACATTCTGAAGAAAGGGGTTACAGCTGGCTGCCTCCCCTCTTCACTCATGATCTTCCTTCTTGTCCCTTCTCCCTAGGTTTCAAGTCTCCACTTTAGGGTCCTTGTCCTGTTGGCTTACAAAGGATATGCCTAATTCCAGCTGTTGAAGTTAGTTTAAACCCAGACTAAGTTCTAGGGAGGATCCTGGGCATCAGCAGAGAAATCTGACCCTTCGTTGGGCAGCTTCTTTCATACTTTCTCCATGTAATAGGGGAGGAAGCAAACTAATATTGATAAAATAGTTCTGTGAGGTTAAGCCTCACAACTCTGAGAAGTGGATTTTCCCAATTCAGTTACCACCAAGTTAAATAGAAGGACACGGAGGCTCAGGCAAATGGGGGCAGCCTGCCCATCAGCAGGGAGCAAGTAGGGGGTTGGGGACTTCAAATGTCATGCGCTTCGCATCTGACCAGCTTTCTCCTTGATAGTGTCCCTTTCTGCTGTCCACCCCAGAGAATTGGCATCCGTGCCTTTGCTAAGGGATCTTAGGAGATGCAGGGGCATCTCCTTATGTTCCTGTCAGCACGACACTAGAGCTAATGTTTTTCATTACTTTTCCTGTGCCAGGTCCTGGGGTAAGCATGAATGGGGCTGTATCACTAAGCCCCCACTTTCCTCTTTTAAATTAGAGGGGTCAGGGGAGCCATGTCAAACTCATACAGTGCCAAACCCAAGGATCTACCTCTGGAGGGTGAGCTTTACCTACTCGGCTAAGTTGGGAGAAATCTCCCTTGGAAGACTTTGAGGGAAGAACAGTGGAGGCCCTGCCTTCAGATCCATCAGCGGGCTGAGGAACCTGGTCGGAAGGCTTGTCCTTCTGCACTTTATCCTCAAGTACTGTCTCAGCCAGAACTCCCCAGGAGCCTAAAGCAGGAAATTCTTGTCTCTCCTGTTTCCTGGGTTTTCTTCAAAATGGATGTGGGCAGTAGTTAGGGAGGAACAGAAGATAGATGACTGATTCTGGAGAAAACCCCGTGAATCTGCTACCCCCAGCACCAAAGTAAAAGGGACTTTTACTTTGGCTTATGGTTGGCCCAGATAATCATTTCTCTTTAATAGCTGGTGGCTGGAAGTATTAGGTTGAGAGGGTCCCATACCAGTTCTTCTTCACTCGTCTAGTGAGCTTTCTTTTTCTCTCCTTTTCCTAGGTCTCCAGAGCCTCCCAGAAGAAAAATAGGCAGTCCTCCCTGAAATATCTTGGCTCCTCAGTTTAGCTTCTCCAACCTGGCTCTCTCTTCCCAAGTCCTCTCCCTACTCCCCATCTCCCTCTCCCACTCACCCTGGTGAACCCGGTAAAGTTCTGTTCTTCCTTTGCCCCATCTGGACCTCACTGGCCAGGCCCTAGTTCCTCTTAGTCTGAGCCCAAACATACTGGAACACATTTCATCTGGGGAGAGGGTCTTCTTGACCCCCTCCAATTCATTGAGCAAAGGGTTGAAAAAGAGGCAGAGAGTAAGGTAGATCTAGTGAAGTACCCAAAGCCCCACCCACCATGGAAGAAGGCTTCCGAGATCGAGCAGCGTTCATCCGTGGGGCCAAAGATATTGCCAAGGAAGTTAAGAAGCACGCGGCCAAGAAGGTGGTGAAGGGCCTCGACAGAGTCCAGGATGAGTATTCCCGAAGGTCCTACTCCCGCTTTGAGGAGGAGGATGACGATGACGACTTCCCTGCCCCTGCTGACGGCTATTACCGCGGAGAAGGAGCTCAGGATGAGGAGGAAGGTGGCGCTTCTAGTGATGCCACTGAGGGCCACGATGAGGATGATGAGATCTACGAGGGAGAATATCAGGGCATCCCCCGGGCAGAGTCTGGGGGCAAAGGCGAACGGATGGCAGATGGGGCACCCCTGGCTGGAGTGAGAGGGGGCTTGAGTGATGGGGAGGGTCCCCCTGGGGGTCGTGGGGAGGCACAGCGGCGTAAAGATCGGGAAGAATTGGCTCAGCAGTATGAAACCATCCTCCGGGAGTGTGGTCATGGCCGCTTCCAGTGGACACTCTACTTCGTGCTGGGTCTGGCGCTGATGGCAGATGGTGTAGAGGTCTTTGTGGTGGGCTTTGTGCTGCCCAGTGCTGAGAAAGACATGTGCCTGTCGGACTCCAACAAAGGCATGCTAGGTAAGAAGCCTGCAAGCACCCTGCTGTAGAGAACCACCCCGTTCATCCCACTAGTTTTGCAAGCTGTACCTAGAGGGCCCATTGACATTCCACACACCATCCCCCCGTGGACACCCTCTTCTGGAGGTTGGGTAAATGAAATTGTGTGTGAAAGAGAGAGTATAGCTGGATTGGGGCTTTCACTGGTGTCTGAGTGGGTGGTACTTTGCGTAACTGCCGGATGTGGCCGTGGTGGATTGGGCTGCTGTTAATTGTCTTCAGAGTCTTCCATCGGGTTACTGAGTTGCCTTTCCCTGACTGCAGAACAAGTCAGCTTTGAAATGCCTTGGTATATACGGGGAGGGTCTGTTTGGAGTGATGTGGGTAAGGACACTTCAGACATGGGAGTGTCTAGGGACCAGGAAGGTCTTTGGTAGCCTTTCCTGACAGGAATCTAGAAGGAGAAATCCCATATGCTCACCGAGAAATTATAGAGGGCTGGCTTCTCCATAGAGCTCTCTGTCTCTGTCTCTCTGCCTCTGTCTCTCTCTGTGTCTGTCTCTCTCTGTCTCTCTCTGTCTCTGTGTGTGTGTCTGTCTGTCTGACTCTGTCTCTCTTTCTCTCTCTGGACTTGGTTTGGACATTGACAAAATGCAAAGCTTTAGAGTTGATTTAAAAAATCAATTCCAATTCTGGTTTTAGGAAAGAAACAAAAAACTGGGGGAAATTTTAGGATCCTAAATACTGGGGCTGGAAAGATAAAGGATAAGCTTGGTATTGGAGCCTTTTCCCCAAGGAACATGAGATCGCCTTCTTTGAGGGCATCAAAACTGAGAGAAAAAGCCAGATGTGGTGTGAACATCATTACTTCGAGCACTCAGGAGGTAGAGGCTGTTGGATATATGAGTTTGAAGCTAGTCCAGTCTACACAGCGAGTTCCAGACCAGCCAGAGCAACACAGTGAGACACAGTCTAAAACACAACGACAATGACAGTGATGATGATGATGACGATGACGATGATGATGATGACGATGACGATGTCCTCAAACAAACAAACTGGGAGGACAGAGAGGGTGGGGGTGGTGTCTAGGAATCTACGCAGATCCATTTCACTTCTGGGTGAGTTAGGGATGAGTATTCTGTGCAGTAGATGGAGGAGGGGAAGAAGACAGAGAGGAAGAAAGAGGGGGAGGGAGAGGGAGGGAAGAAAGAGGAAGCAGCAAAAGTGAGGGGTGTTTTTCTCAAATATTTGCCCTCCCTCTTATCTCTGGGTAAACTTAGCTCCTAGAAGTTCTTCAGAGCCATTCTGCTACAGGAGTTTCAGCCCCTAGAGTTGGGGCTCTAATACAAAACTGATGGGAGAATTGCTCAAGCCCCTCCTCCTGGTTTCCTCCTCTCTGCAGGTCTCATTGTGTACCTGGGCATGATGGTGGGGGCCTTCCTCTGGGGAGGCCTGGCTGATCGGCTGGGTCGGAGACAGTGTCTGCTCATCTCGCTCTCAGTCAACAGCGTCTTCGCCTTCTTCTCATCCTTCGTCCAGGGTTATGGCACCTTCCTCTTCTGCCGCCTCCTTTCTGGGGTTGGGTGAGTGTCTACATCCTAAACCCTTAAAGACAGAGCTGGTCACTGCTGTAATATACACTTGGCACACTGTGAGGCATATTGGGTATACTTTAAATCTGCGTGAACTGTGTGAATGAATAACTTTCCCACTCCCTACCCATCCTCAGGCCAGCTTCCCATGTCCAGTGCCTGCTGCTGACATCCATGCCTGCTCTGTCCCGGGGGCCCTCAGCTTGCCTCTGTTTCTGAGCTGTCTACACAAAGGTCCAGTGGGCCTGGGCCTTGCTCTTGGGCTCGTGCACACCCTGGAGTTACCCCTCCCAGAATGTTTATTTTTCCTGAGTTTGTTAAGAAAGCTTGCTGACACACTCTTTGGCCTAATCTGAAGTCTTCCGTTGCCTGCACCTGCACTGTCTCCATTTGTTGTTGGTTTTTGGATTTGTTTTTGTTTTGTTTTGTTTTGTTTTGGACAGAGTGTTCCTAGCTGGCCTGGGACTCTCTAGCAGGCTAATCTAAAATTCAGAGACTTGCCTGCCTCTGCCTCCCACATGCTGGAATTAAAGGTGTGAACATCCATCTCAAAGGATTTTTGTTTTGTTTTGTTTTATTTTTGAATTTTTATTTGAATAGAATTTTGCTACATATAGCAAGTTCCTGGCTGGTCTAGAACTTGAAATCCTCGCCTTGCCTCTGCGCCTGGTGCTGGGATCACCACATGCAATACCACATTCAACCTCAGTTCCCTTTTCTTCAGTGATTTTGCCTCCTTCCCAACTCTTAGCCACTTTTAGGGTTTAATGCTTGTTCTTCCCTTGATCCGAGACTTGCTTGCCTGTTACCTGCTATCCCAAGAATAGTGACTTGGTGGCTGGTGGCGAAAAGAGCTAGTAGGACAGTATATGAGATGAGAATAAAGTGGCACTGGGGGGGCTGAGGACCCAGAGCACTAGGGTGAGGGATCTGGAAGATGGCTGTTTCCTAATGTTTACTTTTGAAATGTCCAGGATTGGCGGTTCCATCCCCATTGTCTTCTCCTATTTTTCGGAGTTTCTGGCCCAGGAGAAACGTGGGGAGCACTTGAGCTGGCTCTGTATGTTCTGGATGATTGGGGGAGTGTATGCAGCTGCAATGGCCTGGGCCATCATCCCCCACTATGGTAAGCTGTTCTCAGACTCTCAGTCCTCCCAGCTCTGCTGTGCTTCCAGCTGCTCTGCTGATTCTGTGACTGTCTTCCAGGATGGAGTTTCCAGATGGGTTCTGCTTACCAGTTCCACAGCTGGAGGGTCTTTGTCCTCGTCTGTGCCTTTCCCTCTGTGTTTGCCATCGGGGCGCTGACTACGCAGCCTGAGAGTCCTCGATTCTTCCTAGAGGTGAATGGATTGCTCCCTGGGGAGTCGGGGGGGTGGGGATGAAAATGCTTGCTGTGAGGTTGGTGCACTCTTGTGACCGCTTCCTCCGACATGAGCCCATAACTCTGGGGGACTTTATCTTGCTTCCTTTGTCTTAAAATGTGTCTCCTGAGGGGTTTGGAGAGACCAAGAAACCTGCTCATCTACAGGTGGCTTACAATTCTGCAGGTTCAAATTGGGACCCACCCTTTACATCTCCCATCCGGCTATTCCTGGCTCCAGCAGATTGGGGTGTGGCTCCTCCCGTGGCCATCATTTCTCTCGCCTTAGGCTTTTCCCTTATGTTTTACTGGAGAAACCGCCAAGGATCTATTCTGGCCTCTGTTTCCATACAAACCCTTCATCCCAAGTCTTGACCAAGTTTCATCAGACCTTGTACTCCAGCTTGGGCTAATGTATATACCATAGATTAGGGTGGTGGGGGGAGAGCTGGGACTCAGGAAGCCAGATTGAAGGGCGGGGTCTGTAACACTGGGTCTGGCATCCCTGAATTGCATGTTGGGAATTACATATGTGTTCTAGAATGGGAAGCATGACGAAGCCTGGATGGTGCTGAAGCAGGTTCATGACACCAACATGCGAGCCAAGGGCCATCCTGAGCGAGTCTTCTCAGTAAGCTACGACTCTCCCTACTCAACCCCCCAGCCCCCACTCGGACCCTTCTAGATGTCACCCATTTCCTGGGTGTCTCAGACCACACTGTAGGTCAATGACCTTCTGAGGGCATTATGTCGCTTCCTGCCCCCCCTCCCATTTTGCTACTGAGAGAAAGAGACACTTGGAGTGGGTTGGGAGTGCATGACACTTCACTCCTTTTCTTGTGCCCAGGTAACCCACATTAAAACGATCCATCAGGAGGATGAATTGATTGAGATCCAGTCTGACACAGGAACCTGGTACCAGCGCTGGGGAGTACGGGCTTTGAGCCTGGGGGGTCAGGTAATGATAGAGTGAACGGCAGAGCAACAGAAGGAGTGGGGGAGGTGGAGAAGGGAGGGCTTGAGCCGGGGTGAGGGTCAAGGTGAACTGAGGGAGGTGGAAAAAGCAAGAATTGGAGGTCAATAGGTAGACGTTAGTGTGGCCGCCTTTTGCCTTCACTGTGTCCTGTGTAGGTTTGGGGGAATTTCCTCTCCTGCTTCAGTCCGGAGTATCGGCGCATCACTCTGATGATGATGGGCGTATGGTTCACCATGTCCTTCAGGTGAGGGAGGCTAAGTGTTGGTGGTGGCTGTGTGTGGCTGAAGCAGAGAGATGAGACAGGAGATGAAGAGGCACATCACGAGGGAGGGTGCTATCTGTCGGCATCCTTCGACGCTTTATCTAGGTTCTCTATTTAATTAAGTCATCAAACTTGTAATTCAAACTGACAGGCAATCAGTCTTTACCAGACAATGTACTGGGATAAGGAGATGTGTTCTGGTCTTAGTTTATCTTCTGTCAGGAATAGATAAAACTAGCTGTTAGAGTTAGTGTGGTGGTGCCAGAGTGAGGTAAGGATGCTGTGTTACAGGGACGTTTGGAGCTTGGCGGGGTGCGGTGTGGGGTGGGGATTTAAATCCTCAGAGAGAATGGGAAGGAGAGTATAATGGGTAGTGTAGAAGACCTTAGAACCACAGTAGTTGGATGGAGAATGTATGGGATGAGGCTGGGGGTAAGCATGCCCTTACTGTCCATCTGCCCCTCTGATTAGGGTCCTGGTGTCTCATTTGCCCTGCCTAATTCCATGCCTTTGACTCCCCAGCTACTATGGTTTGACTGTCTGGTTTCCCGACATGATCCGCCATCTCCAGGCTGTGGACTATGCAGCCCGAACCAAAGTGTTCCCAGGGGAGCGCGTAGAGCACGTGACATTTAACTTCACGCTGGAGAATCAGATCCACCGAGGGGGACAGTACTTCAATGACAAGTATGTGGGGGATGTTTCCACATCGCATTCCCCTCTTCCTCCGACTTCCTTCTCTTTGATGAGTCTGAGCTCAAGACAAGGTGGTTTGGGGCCAAGCCTATGTATAATCAGGGCTCTAGGTCTCACTACAAGGGGCGGGGCGCGAGCGGTGAGGGGGCGTGTCTTATCATCCTGGTCCTGCAGGTTCATCGGGCTGCGTCTGAAGTCAGTGTCCTTTGAGGATTCCCTGTTTGAGGAGTGTTACTTTGAAGATGTTACATCCAGCAACACATTCTTCCGCAACTGCACATTCATCAACACTGTGTTCTATAACACTGGTAAGGTGGCCAGTGGGTGTCAGCCCGAGGGCTTTGATGAAGGGAGAAGGAGGCTCCCTCATCCCCTAGCTTCCGGTTCTCAAGCTGAGAGTGCCCTGGAGCCCTGAGGTTGCTTACTGGCAACCACCAGTGATTTGGGAAATATAATGGGTATTTTCCTGGGATCCACTATCTGAAGAAAACTTTGAGTTCTTTTACCTTTATCTGTGAATATAAAGTTTCAGTGAGGTAATGTTAATGTAATTTTGAAGAGGGTAAACTGGGGGGAAAAAAGACAATACGAGGAATATTTAATAAGGAAAAAGCTGAGAATCATGGTGTCAGTCCACTTCTTAGCTCAGCCTCAGAGAGGCCTGCAATCCCTCTCCTCAGAAGGCTGAGGTAGGAGGATTGAAAATTGTCTGAGCTACAGAGACAGTTTAAGACCAACCTGGGTGACTTTGTAAGGTCCTTCCTCAAAATGTGAAAGGGCTGAGAGGGGCAAGTTCAGAGGTAGAGCACCTGCCCAACTCCTGTGATGCTCTCTAGGCTTAATCCCTAGTAATTTTAAAAAAAAAAATCTAACTTGATTATGGTGGTGTGCTCTGGAGGTGGAGGAAGCGAGAGGACCAGACCAGGAGTTCAAGTCCACTAAAGATCAAGTTTGAGACCAGGCTAGGCTGCATGAGAGCTGTTTTAAAAAGCAAAAACAAAACAAAACCCAAGACAACAACAACAATACCCTTTAAAAACGGTGCTGGAGAGATGGCTCAGCAGTTAAGAGCACTGACTGCTCTTGCAGAGGTCCTGAGTTCAATTCCCAGCAACTACATCAGGCACCTCACACCTGCCTGTAACACTTGTTCTAGGGGACTAGAAGATCTAACATTGTCTTCTGGTTCCTGAGAGTTTATGATACGTGTACACACACACACACACACACACACACACACACACACACACACACCAACAAAACAAAACCAAAAAATCCTAAGATAAATCTTTTAGAAAATATATAAGAGATAAAAAGAAACAAAAGCCTGACTGGTCACTGGTCATGGCTGAAGGCTGAGTTCTGCGTGCTCAACTGAAACACCCCATCTCCTTTTTTTGTTTGTTTTGGCTTTGGTTTTTTCCAAGACAAGGTTTTACTGTGTAGCCTGGATGTCCTGGTTACGCACTCTCTAAATCAGGCTGGCCTCAAACTCAGAGATCAGCCTGCCTCTGCCTCTAGAGTGCTGGGATCAGATGTGTGAGCCACCACGGCCTTGCTAACATCCCAACTCTAAATGGAGTATTGTGTAAGCTTTCCTCACTTTGCAGGAAAGAGGGGGTCAGGGAAGAGGGAGACAAAGACAGAGAGAGACACAGAGACTGAGACACAGAGACTGAGACACACAGAGAGAGAGACATAGAAAGACACAGGGAGATAGACAGAGAGACTGACTTTAGAACTTATTTTTAATGTTTTCTCAGAAGCAGTTCCTAGGCCAGCAACAGGGCTTCTGTTTATAGCCAGTTCAGGTGGACAAAAAAGATGAACAAGAAACAAAGACTAAGTAAAGCTCAGACGTGCCATGCATGCTTCTTGCTTATTGTCCTTCTTCTGAGAAGACTGCTAGTTCCCACGGTGATGTTGGATGCTTTGCAGCGAGTGTCAGTGCTGATGCTGCAAGCTCCGACTGCTAACTTCCACGGACGTAGCAGGTCTCATGCTCCCCCTGTGTCCTGATCTTCTAGACCTGTTTGAGTACAAGTTTGTCAACAGCCGTCTGGTGAACAGCACGTTCCTGCACAATAAAGAAGGCTGCCCCCTCGATGTGACAGGGACGGGCGAAGGTGCCTACATGGTGTACTTTGTCAGCTTCTTGGGGACACTGGCTGTGCTTCCTGGAAATATTGTGTCTGCTCTGCTCATGGACAAGATTGGCAGGCTCAGAATGCTTGGTAAGGGGCTGAGGGCTGGGTGCTGGCTGATGCAGAGTAGTAGCCACGGGGCTGGGGCGGAGGCTGGGGTGGGGGCTGGGGTGGGCTGTCAGGTGGCTTCTCGCCTCCAGCTGTGGAAACCCGGCCCTGAAATTGGCCAGTGAGCTTTCCCCTCTCATGTTTTCTTTAGGGGTGCTGAAAAATGGGGGTGGACCCGGCATAGAAGTTACTCTGGAGGGTTAAAGAAATAGGTAGGACAGTAGGCAAGTAGGGTATAGACTTTGAGGTTATAGATTTGAGGTTCAGCTCCACCTTGGACAGGTTACACCCTGTGAGCTTGCACCTGTAACCTAGCACCTCTCATAGAAGAAATGGCACCTCTCTCAGAAGGCTGATTTCTCAGATAGGTCCATAGGAAACATCCTGTTACTTAGCTCGTAGTTGGTGTTGAGTAAAATGGCTGCTACTGAAACTCGTATTGACAAACACAAGGGTTGAGGACCATCAAAAAGCCTTCCTTTTGGCTACCATGGGAAACAGTTATCTGGGGTTGTCTCAAAGTTGGTGAGCTGGGCCACGGCTGGGTTTCAGTGCTGTCTCTTCCCCTGGCTCCAGCTGGTTCCAGTGTGTTGTCCTGTGTGTCCTGCTTCTTCCTGTCTTTTGGGAACAGCGAGTCAGCCATGATTGCTCTGCTCTGCCTTTTCGGGGGAGTCAGCATTGCATCCTGGAACGCGCTGGACGTGCTGACCGTTGAACTCTACCCTTCTGACAAGAGGTAGTTTGGAGTGTGGCGGGGGCAGGGGAAGAGGTTTAGGAGCTACAGGACTGGGAAGTGAGGAGGAGAGCCGACAGAATATTGTTAGGGATAAGAGTCTGGTGAAGGGTAAGGGTGTTGTTAGGGGTAGGGCACACATCCCTGCTGAGCTTTTCCTTAACAGTTGGGAGCTTTTGTCTTTGCTTCTGGAACTGCTAATTACTAACCTCTGCTTCTGTCTCCTCTCTCTTGTCTCCCAATGTGTCTGTATGCCCCACCCCCTCCCGTCATTTCTCCATCCATCCTTCCTGCTCCTGCACACTGCTTTTGTCTTACCCCACTTTGCCTTCCATCTTCCTTCCTCTGGGCCCTCACCGCCATGCGGCTTGGCACTGAGCAGGACTACCGCCTTTGGCTTCCTGAATGCCCTGTGTAAGCTGGCAGCCGTGCTGGGAATCAGCATCTTCACATCCTTTGTGGGGATCACCAAGGCCGCTCCTATTCTCTTTGCCTCGGCTGCTCTTGCCCTTGGTAGCTCTCTGGCTCTGAAGCTGCCTGAGACCCGGGGACAGGTGCTGCAGTGAGGGATGGGGGGTGTCTCAGGGGCTTTAGGGATGGCAGGCACACTGTGAGACCAATACTTCCTTTTCTTCCTCCTCCGCCCTGCTGTCCTGGTCCTCACTCCCCTGTGTTTGGTGTCTTAGCTGTGTGTGCCTGTGTGCATGTGTGTGACCCTGATGGACAGGGACTACAGGGAAGGTCCCTTCGTTCCACTTCTGGGATGAGGTACTCCTCACCTGCTGCCACCCTCAACTTTGCACAAGGAGAAGGCTGGGCTGCATCCTTCTCTCCCCCAGTGTTAGCGAGGGAGCTGTTTCCCTGCTCCAGGGGTTCCAGAACTTCTGCCTTCCCCTTCATTCCCTCTGCCTAGGCCCTGGTTAACCACAGGTATGGAGTTATAATGGGGGCTGAGGCTTGGACCAAAAGAACTTCTTGAGTGGGAAGGCCTTGGGTGCCCTCTAACCTCCCAAGGATGCTGGGACGTAGCAATAAACCTCAGCCCTCTGGCCTCCATTTTCACCTCAATTCAGGCTACAAGTGTGAAGCCTGGATTTTATGGAATTAGTTTTCTGATTCTTATTTATATGTAAGTTCTGAGGCAGCTTAGCTGGGCTGTGTGTGGATGTATACACTCGCGTGTGTGTATGTGTGTGTGTGTGTGTGTGTGTATGTGTGTGCCATGGGGTAGGGGTACCACTATACTGTTCAAATATAAGCCAAGAGTAGTAGTTTCAGTGAACACACACACAACATTGTTTTTCTATAGTACCTCCCGGCTCTTGTATCTGTGTTGGGGCTGGAAGCAGAACCCCTAGGCCAGGCTGGGATGAGTCCTGAAGCCTTGGGGGACCTGAGGGCACCTGACAAGGACTCACTCTCTCCTTCCTCTAGAGAGGTTCTCCCCACTAGCCATAGCCCTCCCATCTGACCTGTCTGCACAGGCGGTGGACCAGAGGAAAGAAAGGGAGGATAACCAGGCGCGTATGGTCAAACCAGCAGATCTGAAAGCACAAGGAGCTGGGGCAGGGGCAGGAAGCAGGGGTCCATCCCTTAAACCTTCTCAAAAAGGCTGGGTCGTGAGGGACCCCTAATGCAGGGACCAGAAGCCTCAGTTTCCCCATCTTGCCCTTCCACAGAACAGCCTCTGTAGGTAGAGCTGCCCCCCTCCTACCCTACTCTGTGTGGCTGCTTTCTTTGGTACTCTCTTCCCACTCCCACCGTAGCTGTGACGTGTTGTAGTTTTTAGCTGTTTGTAAAATGTTAAAAAAAAAAAAAAGTTAAAAGGAAGTTAAACTAACCACAAAAAAAAAAAAAAAAAATCCAAATTCACCCTCCTTATGCTGCGTCTGGTGCCCTCAGCCCTAAGGCCATTCTGATTTTGTAATACTGAACCAGGTGGTGACTGTTTAACTCTAGTGTCTGTGATCAAAGGACTTCAAAGGACTGCCTTCTCCCCCAGTGCCCAGTGTGTGAGTGTACGCCCCCTCCCCTCACCATTCCGTGGCTGGACGTAGCCGTCTCCCTTACTACATCCCCAGGGAGACACATCCACCTTCTTGTCTCCTGAGGAACCCCAAACCTAATTCCATTGATGTGAAAAAATGAAATGAAAAATACTGCTGAAAAATAAAGGGTACCAACCCTTAAAACCCAAAGTGGCGTGTCCGCTTCCTGCCTCTCCATTCACGTTTCTCCATCCTGACCGCCTGGGGAAGGTAGTGTTGGAGGAACTATTCCTTCTCCAGGGCTAAAACAAGCAAGTCTCCACTCTTTTCAACTTATGGAATGGGGTACCTCACATCTTCATTTTATTTGTTTAAATAAAATGTCCTGGCTTACTTGTGCTGGCTCTAGAAGGTTAAGAGCCTTTGTTACTCTTGCAAAAAAACAACAAACATTTTATTTGCACGAGAATCTTGCCTGCATATGTATATATGCACCACATGTGCCTGGTACCCATCAAGGTCAGAAGAGGGCTTTAGGTCCCCTGCAGCTGGAGTTACAGTCCTTTGTGAGGCACAAGTGGATGCTTGGAATCAAACCTGGATCCTCTGGAGAGCAGAAAGCACTCATAAGTGCTATACCACTTCTCTGGCCCCCCAGCTTTAAGCAATGCTTTTTGGGAATTCCTAGTGCCTGCAGCTTGTCCTTAGTTCTTCTCACTCAAGTCCATTGCTGCTTTAATCAAGCTGCATTACATTTTTTCTTTCTTTTTTCCTTTGTTTTTTTTTTTTTTTTTTTTTTTTAGTCTCATTGTTTAGCCTGGGGTGGCCTTGAATTCAACAATATCTGCCTGTTTCTGCTTCTAGTGCTTATAGGTTGTGTGTCACTGCATGGGCTCTTGAGGCCTTTAATAACCTTCTACTGCCCAAATAGGTCCAATATAGAAACTATTTCTTGTCAGAAATGGACAAGATCACACACTCATCCACACATATCTTCATTGCTGGGATTAAACCCAGGACGTCACACAAACTTGTCAAGTGCTCTGGCATTGAGCCATGTCCTCAGCCCCAGGTATGTTTAACAAGGTATGTTCAACAAGCTTTTCTCAGAAAGAACTTCTGAACATTATCTGAGCTTCTCTTGAAAACCTAGGCCATGTTTATATTTATTTCTGTTCTTTTCCTGTTTCAAGTGGAGGAATTCCTTCTTTTCTGGGTTAATTTTGGTTCCTTCCAAAACCCAAATAGTTCACTTTCTCATGAATCCCTTCTCTAGCCTAGAGATAACTTTCTCACAAGAATGCCCGTAGGGAGGCCGGGCAGTGGTGGCGCACGCCTGTAATCCCAGCACTTGGGAGGCAGAGGCAGGCGGATTTCTTAGTTCGAGGCCAGCCTTGTCTACAGAGTGAGTTCCAGGATAGCCAGGACTACACAGAGAAACCCTGTCTCAAAAAACAAAAAACCAAAACAAAACGAAAAAGAATGCCTGTAACACCTAACAGCTGTGTAAACCTGGTAGCCTGCTTGAGTTCAATTCCAGAACTGTACGACGACAGTGGGAGCGACACCCAAAAGTTACCCTCTGACACACAAGCGCACCGTGGAGTCATGCAGGCCCCACCCTGCATCCAACAACACGTAGCTCCAATTTAACAGGTATTAAGAGCACCGTTTGACCTCATGCGCCAGCTTCCCTTTATTATCATGGCCCTTTCCCACTCATCAGGACCGGGCAGCCTGAGTGGCTGCTCTCTCCCTGGGCTAGCTTAGCATTCACCAGAAGCTTCTTTGCCTTTGCTTGGTGTACATTAGCAGAAGGGGCAGAGGTCCTGGTCCGTACAAATCAAAGAATAAGGTAGTAGCGATAGAGTAGTTTATTCTCATTCGGATCATTGTTCTCCCAATCCGGGTATTAAGAGGTCCCTCGAGTTTTCTTGCTTCCACCTAGGCAGGGGGGGCTAATGTCCAACTGTGGGTTCTCTCTCCACTGGGCGGGGGTCTTCGCCTGGATGGCCAGCGCGTGTACCGGCCCAGCCAGCTCCTCCGATAGTGCCTCGTGGACCAGCCGGTGCCGTTGCAAGGGGCTCATCCCCTCGAAACGAGAGCTCACCACCGCCACGCGGAAATGCGTCTCGCTGCCTGCGGGGACTGCGTGGCCGCCGCTCTCGTTGCGCAGCTCCAGTATCTCAGGGCTCAGGGCTTGCTCCAACTTGGCGCGGATAGCGGCTTCCACTGGCCCGCCAGCCGCCGATCCCGCGCTGCCCCGCGACACACATGCGCGCGTGGCCATGGAGACCATGCACCGGGCCAGTCGCGCACTTAGCATCCGCTGCGGAGAGATGAAGGACACCGGACTGAGTCCACACACCCTTCCCACGCACCCCAGACAAGCACACCCTGGAACCGCCTCTGCTCTGCGTGGCGGGTTAACGCGGCTTCTACGCCGACAGAGGAGGGACAAGGGCGACTGATCGGCCAGAGCGCTAGGCACTAAGGGGACTGGGAAGGCATGGCCGGGAGCTGAAAAAGGGAATATGACAACTTGGTCCTTTTGGCTGAGTCAGAGCCCTAACGTCTCCGAACCCAAGGGTGGTACCTCTGTACTTGCTGCGCAGCCTGCTGCACCGCAGTTTGATCTAACAACCGAATTTCCGACGTAGTGTCGACGTAAACGCGGCGTCCGGAGGCTCGCTAGGAAATGCAGTCCTGGTTGCGTCTGGCAGGCGTTACTTAGTACCCAGAGGTTTCATGGGAATTGTAGTCCCTGCTCTTCCGACCGGTAAAAATCCTGCGAGGTCTGGAATTAGAGCAATGAAAACAAAAGGGTTTCCTGCAAATTTGAGATTGTTGCACCAGATTTGTAGCTTCTTGATCTTAAAAGTCAAGTAGCTTTAGTCTTTTATAAATAAGTAATAAAAAATCGACATCTCATGTAGCCCAGGTTGGCCGTTAACTCTCTAGAATGCCCATTATTTCCTGATCCTCCTGCCTCTACCTCCTACCTGCTGATATTACTGTCCTGGGTTATTGATAGAGTTTCCATAGCCAAACAGGATTCTTGTGAGATTACAGCGGACCTTGCTCAACTCAGAGGGGAATGTCTGCTGGGAAGCTTACCTCCCAAGATAATCTGTCCTGCCTGAAGCAGAAAATTCCAGTGAGAAGAAACTGGAGATCCTCACGTAGCCTCCTAACAGCTGCGTTAACTTCATTCTCAAGCTCCCCATGCGTTCCTATGTAGAGAACCAAGCAGGTTTTCTTCCTCTGGGAGATCCCTTCATTCCTGAGAATGAAGGCTCTCTCTCTGACATAACCCGCCCCCCCTTGTGTGTGTGTGTGTGCGCGCGCGCACGCGCGCTCATAATTTCACCTGTTGAGGTCAGATCAGACTCTGTTCTTTTCCTGCCTTCTATCTCTTTACTCTTGCTCCTAAATCTAACAGTCACCACCCCTGGATCTCAATTACTCTATTTTACATTCAAGAAAATGGAAGTCCATTCTGTATATTAAACACATAATTATTGTGTGCCAGACCAGTGCTAGAGGCTGGAGAATAAAGACAGCCCTGCTCTCAGAGTTTACAAAGCATTAGAGAAATAGTCACAGTGTTCATTGTGATACCGTGTGCAGAGTGTATGATGAATTTACTGAGGGTATATTACCCAGGCGTGGGGACCAAAGAAACTCGTCAAGAGACTTAGAGCAGTCTAGGAGAAACAAGAAGACCACTTTCTTACCTCATTTGGTCAGGATGTGGTAACTGAATGAAATGAGCATATGACCACTCCAAGGAATGGCTGAGGAGGTTTTTACTCTGCGTATGAGGAAGAATACAGCCAGGGGCGTCTGGAAGAGTCTAGAGCACAAAGATGAAGGAGCGGACTAAACATGACCAGCAGACTGAATGGGGCTATGAGAGGAGAGAGAAGAGGGGAGAGTAAGAGATGGAGGGGGGAGGGGGAGGAGAAGAATCGGGAGAAAGGGATGGGGAGAAGGAGAGGGAGAGGACCAAGAGAGCTCATGGCCATAATGGCTGGGTTATATAGGAGTCAGAAGCTGGGGGAAGGGAAGGGAAGCCCTTGGGTTGGAGCAGTTTGGAGGTACGGTGAGAAGAGCTAAGAGGAGCCATAGGGTACAGAGTCCTGCTGCCAGTGTGCATTTTGGTATAATAGGAACCACAGTTAGCCATTTGTCCCTGGCTTCTTTGGGACGTAACAGTAGCCTTGTCTTTGGGCTGTCCTGGAACTCATAATATATAGTAGGCTGGCCTCAGATTCATGGAGATCCACCTACCTGTGCCTCCCAAGTGTTGGGCTTAAAGGCTGAAGACATACACCATCACTCTTGGCTAGGTGGAGTTCATTAAGAAGAGATTTTAATACTGATTCAAGTGTACAGATTAACTGAAATTTGGAGGAAAAGACTTGTGCACACAGGTGTGGGTTGTGAGCTTCTCAAGGGAGCTGGCTGTGTCTTTACGTTGGCCTTTCTATGATTTGCTAGCTTCTGAAGGTTTCTTTCTCTTAGGGCTGCTAAGGACTTTAAATGTGATCATAGGGTGGTTTTTGAGATTTATCAGATAACATTACAGCTGATGATGGAAAATCTTGTCATGAGGTTTGCACAAGTGAGTTAAGATATGCTTTTACTGTATACATGTTTTTTTGTCTTGTTTGTGAGTTTTCCAGAAATCTGTAGTTCTACATCATAGAAAGGAACGCAAGGGATATGTATGCTAAGCTGTAAGCATGACTCAGGCCTCTTTTATCAATACTTGAAATATCTCTATGTAAAAAGAATACTGCCACTGTGTGAGCGACCTTCTCAGCAAATGTTAACTGAATTGAAACCCTTCTCCACAGATGGTGAGGAACTTTGTCTACATTCTGAAGTGAGATGTGTCTTCCCTTCCTAGGTTCCCTTTACTTTCTCTGCCTTTCTTCCTCAGCCTGGAGTACAGAAGCCATGGAGGGGGCAGGGATGTTTTGTAAGCATTAATATGTAGTTAGGTATGGTCAGTGCTCTGGGGCAGAGATGATACTGGCACTATCAAGGGTACAGGAAAAAGATCATTTTCTCCAATGACTAAAGAATTAAAAGGCAGGAAAAGTTCAAAAGTCATGCAAAGCCAAAGTTAGTTAGTTAATTAGTTAGTTTTGTTTTGTTTTGTTTTGTTTTGTTTTTGAGACAGGTTGTGTGGCTCTGGGTAGCCTGGAACTCACTCTGTAGATCAGATTGGCCTTGCTTGAACCCAAAGATCCACCTGCATCAGCTTCCCAAGAGCTGGGATCAAAGGTATGGGCCACCATTGCCAGGTCAAAGTTTATTAAAAGAGGACAACACTATTGAAGTTTTGTTTTGTTTGTTTGTTTGTTTGTTTGTTTGTTTTTTAAAAACAAAACCAAACAAATACCAGGGTAGGTAAGCTGTAATCTCAACAGCTGCCCCAAGGGGGAGAACAGCGATTGAAGGAAAAATTGCCACAGTGTTTGAGTTAAGCAGGCATGAAGGACAGATAGGACATGGTGGAGACCAGAGCTTTAGGAAAAAAAAAAAGTAAGGAATCTTAAATAACCAGAAAAAGAAGATCTAGGCTCTGGACAGCATTTGAAGGAAGAATAAAGAAAAAGTTGTACCTCTCTGGGTAGACCCAACTGTCAGATCCCAAGGAAATTCCAGTTTTCAAAATTCCAAAAGGCAGAAGGGACAAATGGCTACCTGAGCTTCCAGTTAGTATACCAAAGCCTGTGGTGGCCTCCAGGCTCTCTCAGTATCTCAGGTACCTGTTAGCATAGCTCAGAGTCCAGCTAGCACCCAACTAGCCCTTCTCACCTCCTCTTTTACCCTGAGCTCACTCCAGCCCACAGGTTTCCCTCTCCCAGCTACCCTTTCTCCTGCTAACCCTGCTAGTTCTTGATCTCCCTGTCTCTGCAACCCCTCTCTGTGCATCTGTCTCTGCTCTGCTCCTGCTTCCCGCCTAGCCAGGTCCAGTCTTCTGGCCATGTTCAGGCCCTCTCTGTCTCTGTCTCTCTCTGTCTGTCTCTCTCTGTCTGTCTCTCTCTGTCTGTCTCTCTCTCTCTCTGTCTCTCTCTCTGTCTCTCTCTCTGTCTCTCTCTCTGTCTCTCTCTCTCTCTCTCTCTCTTTCTTAAATAAAAATAAAATCCTTCCCGTAAACCATACCAAGGAGTGAGTGGTCATGTGTACTTTAATTTTTTTCAAGGTCTACTTTTAATGATGGTTCTTAAATGTTTTAAACCTCCCTTCTAGCACAACACACACCAGAGGCAATGGACAAGAAAGGATGGGCATGGGTGAAGTGGACCTGTTTAGAAAGGTTCTTTGGAGCAACTCCTGTCTGTGTTGTCTGGAAATTGGCAGTTCAGTTCACAGATCAGCAGTGGCAGCTCGATCCACTTGCTAACACTTCAAGGATGCACCAGCAGTCCAGTTCAGTAGAGTTGGGACAGCAGCCCCCGTGGCAGGAGTCAACAGGAGGAACCAAGGCTAACAGAAAAGTTCTCGGTTGTGCCTCTCTCTCAGTGAAGTGAAGATCAGTGAAGACTGTGACCCGCGTCACTTTCTCGCCAGCAAGAATGGACTCGGACGTCAGGATCCTTCTGCAGCAAGCTTTATTGAAGCTGAAGAGAGGAAAGACCCCGAGGGGAAGAGGAGCTCTTACCCATCGGGTCGGCATGTCCCTACTCTATTGGCTGATGCGTCTCGGCAGATATGACACGTCGGGCTGCGTCAGTTTTTGACAGTTACCGGCTGCTCAGGCATTCGCCTTACTGGTGTTTAATGGCGATTTCAGGAGGGAGACTACGCATGCGCGGCAGCGCACCACATCTCCCCCTGTTTTAAATATTAATTGGAGCAGAAGGTCTCACTTCACTGGGTGCAATGGGCAAAGGCCCTCCAGGTGCAGAAGCTGAGACCCTGCATGGGTGATTCTTGGGGAGGTTCTGTAGCCCCTTTCGTTTGAGGCCTCATGATGGTACTGAGCCTGCAAAGGAGAGCACTGCTCAAATCCTTACCCGTCATTGGGTCGATCTCCCCACCCGAGATCGCCCTGTCTTAGGTGGACCGAGTCTTACTTGACACTCCGTCATTGACATACCAGCCCTTATCATGGAACAGAGACCTCATGGGCAAGAATAGTATAGGGGCTATCGATGTTAGTCCCTGAGCATGGACATCCAGATGCCGATAGAGTCACCATTTTCTAAGGCTGCAAAGGCCTGAGCCACCACCACCCTATCTCTCTGTCATTGAGCTCGCATCCTACACAGCAGAAAAAGGGTACCTGGCAGACCCAGGCACAAAATAGCTCCAAAAAGTCCCACTCCCACTCACTCTTTAAAATAGGAGAAGAGAGAAGGCACCCAGGACGAAAGTCCCTCGATCAGGGACACATCCACGCGGGTAGAGTTGATCTCTGTAACGGACCATCGCAGTTGTAGGAGGTTATCTTCAAAACGTTCAGACCAATTTCTTTCAGGTGGTAGACTCGCGAGCATCAGGACCAGTCATAGCTTCTGCCAATGTGGCATCAGTGGCATCATCTTGGAGAGGCGAGGCAGATGTATTCGCTGGAAGCCGGCGTGTCAATCTCTCAGGCAGCCAGAACGGGTTATTTTTGTCCTGCGGGAAACCACGAACAGCTCCCCTGGATCTCATTAACATAGGATCCGGGCCTTTC